AATTTTTATTTTTAAATTACAAACAACATAAAGAAACTGTTCCTTTTTATTCGAGATAGAGAGAGAGAGAGAGTTAATCTTCTAACTGACATAAAATTTGTTTAAACAAATATCTTTCAACTCTTTCAACGGTGAAAGCTCCATATAACTTTCCAATTAGATTCAGCCATTTTAACACTTATCTTTAAACTCTTCCATAAGAAAAGCTGTAGTTTTCAAATTAGGGTCGGCCATCTAAATACATCTTTGAATTCTTCCATAGTTTGAGGTTGTTAGGCGTATCTCGATTGATTTCCTTGCAATAATAGAAGGAAATGTGCAAGCTCATAACAGTGAGCTGTGTTTGTCGCAGTACAGTGTTTGACGATAAAGTATTTCTCATGGTAAGTTATTTCTTATTGTGCAGTCTTACATCAGTTGTGGGAAAAGTTTTGGAAAGTCTGTTTAAAGATGCTTTGCAAAGTCATTTAACAAAGTTTAGAATTTTGTTGAATAGTCAACATGGTTTCACTAAGGGAAAATCTTGACTTACAAATCTTTTAACATTCTTTGAAAAGGTTACTGCTTATGTAGATGAGGGAAAGGGTGTAGATTTGGTGTATCTGGATTTTCAGAAAGCGTTTGTCAAGGTGTCACATAAAAGGCTTGTAAAAAAATATCTCTATAAAGTCTGAAAAAGATGTTTTACAAAGCCATTTAACAAAGTTTAGAATTTTGTTGAATAGTCAACATGGTTTCACTAAGGGAAAATCTTGACTTACAAATCTTTTGACATTCTTTGAAAAGGTGACTGTCTATGTAAATGAGGGTAAAGGTGTAGATTTGGTGTATCTGAAGTTTCAGAAAGCATTTGACAAGGTGGCACAAAAGAGGCTGGTAAAAACAATTATCTGTATAGGTGTGAGGGATAAGTTAACAAATTGGATAGAAGAGTGGCTGGATGGAAGAAAGCAGAGGGTTGTTACAAATGGAGTTCAGTCAAACTGGATTAATGTTCAAAGTAGGGTACCTCAGGGCTCGGTCTTAGGACCTTTGCTCTTTTTGATTTACATCAATGACATATATGAAGGAATGGTCAATAAATTACTTAAATTTGCAGATGATATTAAAGGTCTTGGGTGTTGGTAGCTGTGAAGAGGATGCTGCTGATTTATAAAAGGATTTAGATCATTTAGTGAGTTGGGCAAATAAATGACAGATGGGTTTTAATTATAATAAATGCAAGATAATACATGTGGGTTATCATAATTTGAATTATAAATACAATTTGGATGGGAATAACCTTAACAGTGTTATGAAGGAAAGGGATCTTGGTGTAATAGTTGATCAGTCTCTATAGCCATTCAAACAGTATGCTGTTGTTAGTGGTAGGGCAAATAGGGCTTTAGGTTGTATCTATAGAAATATTGAATACAAGTCTAAAGAGGTTATAATTTCATTGTACAGGCCACTGGTTAGACCACATTTGGAATATTGTGTTCAGTCTTGGGCTTCTTACCTTAGGAAAGACATTGAATTGTTGGAAAGGGTTACTAGAATGGTGCCTGGGTTGGAGGGGTTGTCACACGAGGAGAGGTTGAAATCTCTCAAGTTATTTTCTCTTAAAAAATGAAGAGTTAGAGGGGATCTGATTGAGGAGTTTAAGATAGTAAAGCGAATTGATAGTGTTGATGTAACAACTTTTTCATATTTAACAATGAGAATAGTAGGACTAGGGGACACAAATATAAATTTTGGCAAGATAGGAGTCATATTCAACTAA